CATTCGCTTGCATAGTCTGATTGATCATTGTGTGCGCACCGGAAAATAGGTAAGGAGTACTAATCCCTAGATCACTGCTAGAATATATATTCGAAGAAATTCCTTCATTTCCAGTGACACCGTTCAAGTGACTACTCATCGAATGATTAATGAAATTATTGTGAAGAGTAGAAATATTTATGGAAGTAGACCCGGTGTTAGAGTTTTCAGTAAGATTATTATTTAGAGAATACAAATTGTTCGCAAGGAGGGTGCTAGCCAAACTATCACCAGAACTTCCGTTAATCCTGCTTTTCAAAGTTGAGATGGTGTTCTCGACTGGGTTAAGTAATTTCGCAATTTCAAGGAAACCCATATTGTTCGTCGTAGTGTTGGATGGTTCTTCTTTTCGATCGGTTAATCCACGATCGCTCTTTATAGATTCGATAACTCCATTGTTAACAACGTTCGCGTTCATAGTGATGTCACCATTTATGGAGTCGATACTAATGTTTTTATTCGTGCTGGTCGATCCAATGGCTCCCGTTTGATTTATGCCATTTTCCACACTATTATCCAATGACGCAAAATTTGAATTCGAATTGTCATCACGTTTAGAGCAATCGCCTATCATATCAGCCGCTCCTTCATTGCTTTTTGGAGCCTCTCCTATTCCCGTATGATTCTCAGCATCAACTTTTTTATTCTTTGGTCGTCGTCCTCTTCGTGCAGCGGGCTTATTTTTAGATTCCGGGTTGTCCCGAGTAGATACCTGAGCATTTTGTGATAACTTTTGTTGTGTTCTCCTCGGCGCTCTTTTCGCATTTCTCTTTGATGCACTTCCATTATTACTAAGAATTTCACCATTGCCAATGATGTTCTTATTTCTCTTGGTGATAGAAGTACCTGAAGAGTTACTGATTGTGCTACGTCTCTTTCCTCTTCTTGATGTTTTCCTCGACTTTTGTTCCTTAGCCATTTGCATTAAAATCTTTTGTATGGCTTTTATACCAAGATTCTGTACACAACCTGTATCTAACTGATTAACACATATCCTTCTTGCATAGTCTCTAATTTGTTGTGTCCATTCTATTTCTTTAGTTGAGTCAACGGTGTTTAACAGTGAGCCAACTGCGGCTTTGTTGGAATTTATGGTCAGGGAACAGGTCATGGTATTGGTATTTTGACCTTCATCTCCCGAATTTGTTAGTTTAAAGTTCGGTATATTAACCATCGATTTCGTCAATATAACCAGGGCTTCATGTGCTTTTCGCAAATAATTCTCTAAAGCTATATTTTCTTTGGTTGCCATAGCAATTTTGTTACTATAGTCAGCCACGTTACTTTCTGATTTTTCCGATTGTTCTTTTAAGCCCTGTATTACGGAGTTTATCTGAGCAAGCTTTCTTCGCTGTTTAGCAATTTTTTCCTCTCTTCGTTGCTGATACCGAGAATAACTGTCCTCGAACAATTCACAAAGACTTGTGCCAACATCTAGTTCGCGTTTCATTCGTTCGGTTCTTTCGTACGAGTCCTCGCTTCTCACTGATTCATAGAATTTGTCACGTTTACGACACCATTTTTCCCACTCATTAAGTCTGGCCGGTCCATGAGAACCATGTTGTGGGCAGTA